ATGACCAGCATCCACAAAAACACCCTGTGCACTAAGTCTCTGATGGGCTTCCATGGTAGACATCACAGATGTATGGTCATGATTCACTGCTGAAAGATTTAAGTGTGTCCTATGTGACTCCACGGGGAGAGGACTCTTGGAAGCTTGTGCCTGGTTTCCTCCAGACTTCACCTCATGCACCTTTTCCATTGCTGATTTTGCTTTGTATTCTTTCACCGTAATAAATCACAGTTGTGGGTACAACTACATGCAGAGTCCTATAAGTCCTCCTAGCAAACTGTCAAACCTGGGTAGTCTTGAGGACCAAGAAATATGAAAATTAAGCCAAGTAGTAATTTGCCCAGGGTTACTGGCAGATCCAGAATTCAAGCCCTCATCTGTCATCTGACTCTAAAAGCTCACACACTATGATCCTATGCTCTTTCCTTTCAGAAAAGCTTACTGGAAGGTAGGTGAGTTGAGAAGAATTTCTCCACAGGGAGAGTGTATGCCACATCTTGTACCATAGACTAGGGTATTAGGGTGCTGCAGCTAAAGTCACTTCATGAGTTACAGCAAGCATAACATGGAGTAAAACCAAGGAACAAACAGGGCCAGGCATATGGAAGGAGATAACTGGATTACAGCAAGAAGGTTGGAGAGATTTCATCTGCCATTAGCTGACACGAAAGGAAGAATGAAGTGAATACTGCTCTGTCACCTATGTCTAGGTTAAAAAGAGTCAGCAGCTCTGTTGTTTCTAAAGCTTGCTACTCCCTGTTGACAGGTGTGACCATCGCTGCACAGGTGTATATCAGGAAAAGGAAAACACCAGGATTAACTTTGGATAACAGATTTGAGCAGTAAAGCACAAGCTTCAGAATCAAACAGACATGAGCTCAATCCTGTCCTTGTCACTTACCCAGCTGTGTAACCTTGGGCAATTTCTTAATGGCTTCCATATCTATATTTGGGAATAAAACTTATAAGACTATTTTGAGGGTCACATAAGAATAATATATATTAGGCAGATAGCAGCGTCTGGCATAAGCACTTGCTTCTCTTTGAGCACTTACGACTCTGACAGGCATACCTCCTACCTCCTCTGTGATGATCTGAAACAGTGACAATCCCTTCCAGGAAAGGGAGAAAATCAGACTTGGGCTTTTCCCAACAGTGCCTCAATAGGATTAATCTGGGAAACTCTGCACATCATATTCTCCTTGTGAAAATTCATAATGCACATTAGTATATTAAAAGCTCAGAAAATTCTTACAGTAAAGAAACCTATTTGATTTTGTTTAAATTTATTTGACCTTTTGTTTTTCACAGTAACTACCCCACTGTGCATTTGGAAAAATGCTACTCCAGCAAACAAGCCTATTAAAATTGCTAAGGCAGGAGTAGCAGGGAAGTGGGGAATGGGAAAAAGTATCAAAATTTTCCTCAGTATTTCATCTTTTTCCAGGTTATAAAAAAAAAAGCATTTTAAAGAACCTTCATAGAACATTATTTATTTTGTGTTTACAGATGTGTTTTGAAGACCCATAAAATGACCATTCTCAAACATTCTGGTGTCAGAACCTGCTACAGTTTGGACGTTTGTCCCCACCAGCCTCATGTTGAAATTGGATCCCCAATGTTGGTGGTGGGGCCTAACAGGAGGTGTTTGGTTCACCAGGATGGGTCCCCCATCAATGGCAGTAATGAGTGAGTTTTCACTTTATTAGTCCTTCAGAGCTAGTTATTAAAAAGAGCCTGGCACCACCACTCACCCCCTGCCCTCCTCTCTCACCATGTGATCCCTGCACCCATAGGCCCCACTTTGCCTCCCACCACAAGTGGAAGCAGCCTGAGGCTTTCATCAGATGCCCAGTTTTCCAGCCAGCAGAAACTCTGAGCTAAATAAATAAACCTCTTTTCTTTATTAATGACCCAACCTCGGGTACTCCTTTATAGGAACACTTAACAGACTAAGTAAGACAAAACCAACTCCTGTATGCTCTTAAAAATTATTGAGGATGGAGGGATGGGGATGACAAAGTGGCACAAGCAACTGCTGGGGGTGATGAATATGCTAATTACCTTGACTGGGTTGATGGATGGTATAATGCATTTTATCTATCAACCTGGCTGGGCTGTGGTGTTGACTTATTTGGTCAAATACCAGTCTAGACATTGCTGTGAAGGCATTTTGTAGATGTGACTAACATCTGCCATCAGTTTATTTTAGGTAAAGGAAACTACCCTCGGTAATGTAAGTGAGCCTCATCTGATCAACTGAAGACTCTAAGAGTAAAAACTGAGATTCCGTCCTGGAGAAGGAATTCTGCCTTAAGAATGTAGCAGAAATCCTGCCAGCCTGCCTTATAGATCTCAGACTCAAAACTACAACATCAACTCCTGTCTGAGTTTCTAGCCTGCTGGCCTGTCCTATGTATTTCAGACTTGCCAGCTCCCATGATAGCATGAGACAATTCCTTAAAATAATCTCTTAATATGTAAACATACACATCCTATTGGATCTATTTCTTTGGAGAACCCTGACTGGTAAAGACGAATTCAAAAGTGTATACATATGCCAAAATGTATTAAGTTATATAATTTATATATGTCCAATTTATTATATATCGATCACATATCAATAAAGCTATAAACAATTACTGAGAAACTCCGAGTTTGTTTATGTAGGTGATCTCAGTCAACACTGAGTTAGAAATTGGCACTGAGAAATGTTTTAAATATTTTAATATATATTAATAGGTAGGTATGTTTATGTATATTAATGTTTATATTTTTATTTTAAAAAGAGCTATATTTTTCAAAACAAATCAGTAAAAGAGTGGGACTTCTTAATGTTTCTACAAATTTCTAATATCTGGCTTAAAAGAAAACAACTGTTTCTCATATCTGCTTCAGCATTCAATATGTTACAACATGTTCTCTTGGTGACTCCAAAATTTGACAAGTGGTGGTTTGGTTTCCTATAGAGTTACAATGTGGAATCTGGAACCACATCAACAAAGTTTCAAATGCTGTTGCATTAAAATCCATTGACCTATCTTGAATTCATGGATCTTTTACCCATGTATTATTTTCTCACATCATGTGTTGGTCTTCAGAAAACACTGATTCACAGAGTTATGAAGACTTTCCAAATATTGACATATTTCAAAGCCTCAGACTTGTGGGGGGAGAGGGAATGGGCATTTATTGAAACCTTAAAATCTGTACCCCCATAATATGCTGAAATAAAAAATAAAATAAAATAAAAGAGAAAAAAATAAAAATAAATAAATAAAATATCAAAACAATCAGATTGGTTAATATCAAAAACAATCTAATCAGAAAAATCTTTAAATAGGAAGTTTCAAGTCACAGTAAAATACGAATTTTACAAAATTCTAATTTTTGCTTGGAAGCTCAAATTTTAGTGTTGCCAACAAATATTGTCTATTGTTTTCCTTAAAGTAACAGACTTATGTCATTTATTCTCAAAGAAATATCTTCCAAATATTCAAGTCTGAATAAATACAATTTTTCTGTACGTTATTCTTTCAAAAGCAAAAATGCTGTTCCATATAAAAGAGTAGCTAGTTTATCTTACAAATGTTTTTTAAGATAATCATCACATTTCAGCATGTAGGAGTACTACATAGTACTTCCCATTTTGACAATATTAATGAGATATGCACTAACAGGTCAAACTTTACTGAAATTAACCACTTTCACTGCATCATTATAAACTTTAAGTGAAACTGGCATTTTGTTGTTATTGTTGCAAGCACACGGCAGAAAAGAACCCAATGACTGCTAGTACAGTTTGTGGCCACTGCCTTATTCTGTGCTAAGGCACCAGCAGTTTTAGTCTACCACTACTTTTGCATCATCAGTACAAATGTCTACAGAGTGAAGGGGATAGTATCATCTCAACACTCCTATAAAAATGGTTTGGATCTCAGAGATCCCCTACAAGGCCCCACATAGACACCCTCCTCATGGGTCTCAGGGACGCTTAGAGGCCCAGAGGCCAAACTTCGAAAACTGCTGCTCTAAATAAATACACTTAGATGTTGAAATGATGATAGGGACATCAGTGGCTCCACAATTTGTGGAGGTGGAGAAGTGGAAAAACCTTGATCAGAAATGAGAAGCTGAAGAACTTGCCTCAAAGCTGTATTTGCAGAGCAAGTTCATTTCTTACTGCTGACGTCTATTATCAGAAGGGATAAGTTCATATGCAACTGGACAATAATCAGAAATTTTGCATATTATTCTGATTATAAGAATAAATAAAGTTATTTCTGTTCTATCATGGACATTGTACATAATTTGGGCTTATTAGTAAGTGGCTTCATAATCAAATTTCTAAATTAATTTCTAAAAACTAAATGTAGTACTAATATTTCTTCAACATAAAACTAAGCAGAAACTGTTGCTAAGTTTTTAAGTGGCCCATTTTCAGTTTAACACTGCTAAGTAATAAAAGATAGTAATTTAATTTATAACACCATAAACTTTAATTCAAGTGAAACTTACCATGTACCATATTAGGACAAATGTTTATAGTCATTGTACCTTCTGATTTTAACATTTAGGTCACTGAAAGATACGCTGGAGGAGAATAATACAGATGTTCAAAATGCAATACTCATTAACAATAGTTTTCGATAAAAAATATTGTCCTCTGATGAAACCAAGAAGCCTAACAATGAAAGGCAAAAAAAACCCCAATGACAACCAAAAGAACCCCAAAAATGTTGACATAGGAACTGTTTAAAATGAAGCAGCATAGGGGGTAGGGGGGGAATGGGCATTTATTGAAACCTTAAAATCTGTACCCCCATAATATGCCAAAATAAAAAAAAAAATGAAGCAGCATATATATTAACACTTATGGAATAAACCATTTTTAAGCTGTTGAGTCAAATATCATAGTAACTCGTGTTATAAAATTACATTTTAAGCCATACATTTTAAATTTTATAAAACCAAAATGATGATAATGAAGGTCAACTTACTCGATCTGCTAATCCTCCAGGCACTATAGTCCTTACAACCACGCCACTTGATTTTCCTCCAACTATTCCAAAACCTAATCCAGAACCATCATTAACGAGCTCAACATCTTCAATATGGCCCCAACAAACCTACAAATTAATCGTAAGTAAGAGCCACAGTGTCAGTAAAACACACAGATTCTTAGCTTTCCAATACAGTAATTACTAAAGTGACAGATTTGCAACAAATGGAACATTCATACAGTTAATCAAGGCAATCTTATAGATACTAAGATACATATAGAGAGATAAACATATGGTCGCTGCCCTTAATGATCTTACAGTCCAGTAGAGAGACTAAAACACAAATAATTAAAACACAAGGCCAAATACTGGATGTTAAGACACTGTAGTTCAAAGAGCACAAGAAACATTTCTCATTTCCCAGTCTATGCCTAATATCTAGCACAGTGCCCTGCTCATAGTAGGAACCAATAAATATGTGTTTGCTTGAATTCACAAAATGTTGTAAAGATTTTAGGAGAGAGGGGAAGCACAAGAAGTCAAATCCAATGAAGAAATGTGGAAAACTTCAAGGAAAAAGGGCATTTAAGTTGCACTACCAAGATGGAAGGCATCCAAGCAAAAGGGAAATACAAGACCAAAACCAGGCCAGATAACAGAGTGGGTAAAAGATACAGCCAGAAGATTGGATTTAACTGGTTAAGTGGGGGTCACTGAAGGTTTTAGAAGAGGGAATGGCAGGAACAAAGCAGTGGGTCAGGAAAATTAGTCTGACAGCCATGTGAAGAATAAAATGGTGAGAGGGACATGAGGTGAAGAGACTAACTTAGGAGACTCTCATGAGGGAGAGGAAAGGCAGGCCCAACTGAAGATGCAGCCATAGGATTATACAAATCAGACTAAAAGACGCAGTGCTTTTCCACTAATTGGCAGGCTTCTATGAGAAACGTGCATTATACTCACACAATCCAGCTGTAGAACAAAAATCCTTCGTCTCAAGATCATTAGGGTATACTCATTACTTAGTTTTTCTAGCATACTCAATTGGAAAGTTACTACGCATTGTTACAATAAACAAGAATATTGGGGTTATTTAATTAACTCATGTCTGGAACAATAGTATCTGGGAAGCAATAATGTTTGCTAATTTAATATGCCTGAGTTAACGATAGCAGCAAATATTCACAGAGCATTTACCAGGCACTATGCTTAGCCTTCACTTGCCTTCTTGTCCACATTCCACAACCCCTCTGAGAACTAGATACTGTTATAAGTTCTAAGTAACAGAGAAAGAAACCAAGGTGCAGGAGAAGTAAAGGAAGCTGCCAGTGTGTCAGGGCTAGGAAGTAGAAGAAATAGACTTGAATCCACTGAAGCCTGACTCCAAAGCCCTCGTTCTTTATATGCTAAAACAATGTCTCACTTTGTTCACTGTATTTATTATGTAAATTGTGCTGCATAAATATTGCTGATTACAACAGGGAAAATGCCTATACATTAATTTGTGTTGTGACCTTGTACTGTACCCAGACAGTCTATTTTTTCTTTTGTCCCAATGAATAAAAATGAAATAAATCAGCTAGCACTTAGTGTTATAAGAAAATAAGATTTATTAGCTTGCATTCCGAAGATGCAGGCCAAAATCTGTAAAATGTTATAAAACAAAAGTGTAAGGAGTCCCAAAAGAGACATATACTTTTATTCTTTTAAATTGTTCAGTATGTATCCTTACATGAAAAGAAAACTGTTATAATTTTATAGTATCAATAAGCTAGTTATAAATCCCCATTATAATTTACAAAAATGTTTTTGAAATAAATAGCCAAATCTTACTTAAAACATTCAACAGCAAGTCTCTAATAAAACTCTCAATTAATTAACTGGCTACATCACCAAGGAACACAAGACTCTTTCCATTACCAAATAAATTACACCTAATACTTCAATTTGGCCTCTATATTAAGTAATAGTCTTAAATAAGGAGACCCACAGGACATTGAAAAGACCAAAAAAAAAAAAAAAAACCTCCAGAAACATCTTATTTAAATATTGCTAATGCTGCATTTGGAGATATCATCATCTTTCTGGAACTATGATCAGCAAAATGATACCTTCTGAATGTCTTTATACTCTTCACAGTCAACGGTATAATTCAAAATTAAGTATTTTCCCAAATTTGCAACTCACTGTTTCAGGCAGAGCTGTATAAGTTAGGCTGGTAGAAGTACTGCTTTTTGTGTGGGCTGGTTCCCTGGCCACAACCAGACGTAAAGACCCGGTGGTTTGTTGTAACAATGCAATTGCTTGCTGATGGGAAATGTTCTGATCCAGTGGCGTATGATTAATGGCCAATATTTGGTCATTTTCCTTCAATCTTTGATCCCTTAATCATATAAGAAAAGAAAATTTTAAGTGATCTAATAGCCTTATTTTAAAAAATCTGTTATTCAAGTTAACCAGTCTGTTGCTCACGGTACTACTTCACTTAGTACACTTATTCACATAATTAATTATATAACAGAGCTCTTCAGAGTAGTTTTCATCAAAGCATTTATTAACTAATTAACTAATTAGGTAGTACATCCCTAAACATACACACACATTTTAAAAGCCATTTGGCTAGAAAAATAAACAAAATGTACAGGGTCTCCCTGGCAAGGTTTTACAAGTATGGACACTGCTTCTATTACTGTACAAACCCAGCACCCATGAACCCCTTCCAATCTGACTTCTACCCATACTACACTGGGGTAACCACATTCACAACTGTACCAGTAACCTCCTCTCTAGCAGATTCATCCAGTCTCCACTGCCCATCACTTTTCCAACATTTGTCAACAGAGGCCAAATCCTCCTCCTTGAGATTTCATAAAGATTACTTCCAAATCTTTATCTGAGCCTTTTTTTCTCTCCCAATCTCCTAACTGATAACCAAGGTAAAAAACTATTTTTAAAAGAAACTAGCAACATCTCTAAGAAAAAAAAGCACTATTTTAGTCAGTATTTACCAAGCACTTATGAGTCAGGTCCTGTGTTAAATGCTGTAGGTATGTGCATGAACCTCATGTAAACCTCAAATAGCCTTTTCAGTACTTAAATTTTACATACTTAGAAACTAAAGCCTAGACAAGCCCAGCATCTTATCTAAAGAGTAAGACTCTAAAGCAGTCTTTAAATTCTTATGTTAAAGTGCATCCTAAGGACACCCTAGGATTTACTCTGTCCTGGTTTAGTGCATTTAACTTTATTCCCTCCCAAACACCAGTGATGGCCTCCTCTTCTTATTTACCCATTAACACCACAATTCTTCCTTATTTTCCTTTGTCTTGCATCTACCCATCTCCTCCCTTCATTCCCAAAGTCCATCCTCCAGTTTGAATCCTTGTCTAATACCTAAAATAGAATTTGCAAAATTCCACAAGACTTATTGCTCTATGCTCTCTTCATGCTGGTATTTCCCAACTCAAAAATGTATAATGATCTACCAATGTTATTGACCAATGAAGAGAGAACCAAAGGAAAGAAAAACAAACTCCTATAATGATTGTTTCATAAAAGATTTTTTGACATTTAAAATACAGGAAGGTGGCCGGGCGCAGTGGCTCACGCCTGTAATCCTAGCACTCTGGGAGGCCGAGGCGGGCGGATCGCTCAAGGTCAGGAGTTCAAACCACCCTGAGCAAGAGTGAGACCACGTCTCTACTATAAACAGAAAGAAATTAATTGGCCAACTAATATAGCATGGTGGCGCATGCCTGTAGTCCCAGCTACTCAGGAGGCTGAGGCAGGAGGATTGCTTGAGCCCAGGAGTTTGAGGTTGCTGTGAGCTAGGCTGACACCACGGCACTCACTCTAGCCTGGGCAATTAAGTGAGACTCTGTATGTATGTATGTATGTATGAATCAATCAATCAATCAATCAATCAATCAATCAATAAAAAAAATACAGGAAGGGGCCAGGCGCGGTGGCTCATGCCTGTAATCCTAGCTCTCTGGGAGGCCAAGGCGGGCGGATTGCTCAAGGTCAGGAGTTCGAAACCAGCCTGAGAGAAGAGCGAGACCTGTCTCTACTATAAATAGAAAGAAATTAATTGGCCAACTAATATATATAGAAAAAATTAGTCGGGCATGGTGGCACATGCCTGTAGTCCCAGCTACTGGGGAGGCTAGGCAGCAGGATTGCTTGAGCCCAGGAGTTTGAGGTTGCTGTGAGCTAGGCTGACGCCACAGCACTCACTCTAGCTTGGGCAACTACGTGAGACTCTGTCCCCCCAAAAGAATAAAATAAAATAAAATAAAATAAAATAAAATAAAATAAAATAAAATAAAATAAAATAAAATAAAATACAGGAAGGGATTTATTTCAGAACAGAGAATAATCCTTTTTGTGAGTAAAATTTTGAATTATGAAAAGTCCATTATATTGCCTTTATTTTTCTCACTCAGTCCAAAGCAGATCAGCAAAACTTTGTCATGGACCAAAATATGGTAACTAATGACTTCTAGGATACAATGTAAACTTGGTTAGCATTCAAAGGCCTCCATGTTTGGCCCCAAAGTACTCTTCCAACTTGGATTCCTCCTGATATAAACCCCTTGTCCAACTATTCTGATCTACTTCTTTTTTCTCAAACATGTTTGGCATTTTCTGCTTTTGTATAAATTGTGTCCTTAATCTCTAATACCTTTCTACTCAGCCAAATTCAATCCACCCTTTATGACCCAGCTGAGTGAGAATCTTTCTCTCCCTCCATAACTTACCTTATTTCCAGAATGTTCTGAACCACTCATTTATCACTCACTAAATACTCATTTATACTAAGTATACTATCCTCAGTGCAGCTAAATCCTCCTCTATTAGATTTTTTTAAGTTTTCTGAGGACAGGGACTCATGTTTCAGATTCTGCCTTGGAACTAGCAAGGTGAATATTTCAATTTATGACGTCAAAATTGTGGGCGGCTCTCATGGCAGATCATGTAGCATTAAAAATCCTGATCGAAAATCTTTTTATGGATATTAGAAATGGCTTATGTTACCTTAAGAGACAAGAATAAGATAAAAATTATCTATATTCTGTGACTTTGTCTTTATAAAAAGAAAACATTTGCTAGTTGTCTCAGGGTGGTCCAAGACAAAGTAGTCTTTTTTTCTTGTTATATTTCTGTATTTTATAATTTTCTATTATCTGCTTATATTACTTTCATAATGATTTTTCTAATTTTAAAATATATATATTTTAAATTGAGAATGCTGCTTCAGAAAATATTTCCTTTTAAATATAAACACTACAGGACAATATCCAGGAATTATTTCCATTCTTCCATTCTTTCCATTATTTCCATTCTTCCATCACTAATGTCCTTCTTTCTCCATTTCTTCACCTGAACTCTTATTTACAGCTTGTTCATTCAGAGAAATTTGTTAATTAATCCCAAGTGAATGAATTACTCTTGAATCTTTTCGACCTTGATATAGCTAATTTTTCATAAGTCAGTTCAATTTACTAACTCTAAGTTTTTTCTCTTCTAGAAATCAATCTATTTTAATCTACCTTTTCCCCCTAACCAATATACTTCCTTTCTTTCCAGTTAGAATTCACTAAGGAAATATAAACTCAAACCAAGATCAACTAGGTAAACAAACAGGAGAAATCTTCTGGAAAATATGATTTCGTTTTATTTCTTATTTTTAATTTTTATTTTGATATGGTGTCTTGCTATATTGCCCAGGTTGGTCTCAGACTCCTGGGCTCAAGTAATCCTTCTACCTCAGCTCCCAAGTAACTGGGATTACATGTGCATGCCACTTGTAATCAGCTAAAACTAGGATTTTTGATGTATTCTAAAGTTGAATTGAATTAGCTTTACTACTCCTACTATTTACAATTTAATTCCCCCATACTATTATACTATATACATAAAAAACAGTATACAATTATGCTATATATACAAAATTTAATGTCCATACAAATTTTTATATATGCAATTATATTAACTATATACAATTATACTATATACATATATGTGCAATTTAACTCCCTCATACTATTTTTATATATACACATATATACACACACATACATATATATACTGAGTTCACACTCTCCATTCAATGGGAAACCAGTTCTTGTCTCTCCATGACAATATTCAGAAAGAATGGATTTCCACGACTTTGAGAGCCAACAGGTGTTAGGTGAGCTCCTAAAATAATACAATTCTATGTGGAAAGTCCTCATAAAAAAGAAAGAACTGATCAAAACCATAAAGACCCTTTAACATGATCTGGAAGGTCCTGCATCGCTGGCCCCTACCTTTTTGCAGCCCCTTCTTACAGATCTTGCACTCTGCTCCCCCTCCAGATAAGCACCAGCCACACTCCAAGCACAGGAGCTGTGTTCCATCTCTCCATAAACTAACAGTCAAGAGAGTCTATTTCTTTCCCCATCACCTTCTGCTCTCCTCAGATCCTGCCGTTTCCCCTCAAAACTCCCTTCAAGTACACTTCAAGTACCTCTGGAAAGGGACTGCTCAGCCTTGGTCAAGGTTCTTTACACACTCAAATAATCAACTCCTCTTTTTAACCTGTAATCACAGACCTATTCCTACAGAATACTGAAACATAAGAATTGATGGCAAGATTGAGATAATGCCCCTTTTCTTTGCCACTTTATACCCAGTACATAGCACACAGTATGCATTTGATAAATATTTGTTAAATACTGAGCAAATATATAAAGATGTAATACTACTCATGCTGTGAAAGGTTCCAAGCACCTTTCTAATTATTTTGCTTATGGCATATTCTTCCTATTCAATAAACTCTGTACAACCTTTTCTCAATGCTTCTAATTCCCAATGTCTTCCAGCAGATGCCTAACAGCACAGTATAGAACAATGTCTAATTCAAAATGTAAGCCACTCCTCCACAGACTTCCATTTTATGTTACTTCGAAAATAAAGCTTGGCTGGGCCCAGCTGCTCACACCTGTAATCCTAGCACTTCGGAAGACCAACGTGGGAGGATGGCTTGAGCTCAGGAGTTCAAGACCAGCCTATGCAAGAGCAAGACCCTGTCTCTACAAAAAAATAGAAAATTTAGCTAGGTGTGGTGGTGCACATCTGCAGGCGCAGCTACTTGGGAGGCTGAGGCAGGAGTATTACTTGAGCACAAGAGATTGAGGTTGCAGTGAGCTATGACGACAACACGGCACGCTAGCAGAGTCAAGAGAGAAAGACCCTATCTCAAAAAAATAAAATAAAATAAAGCTTAATGGAGAGCACAACAGAAAACTATTTAATAGCTGAAATAGCTATTAAATAGTTACTAAAAGCACAGTAAAAAACTCAGACATTTGCTTTTCTTAAATTTGGTAATCATTTTTATAAGTTACTTTCATATATCATGAAAAAACTATATAGGTACATTTCAGAGTTTATCCATTAAATAAAAATATGACTAAGGTGTTTTTCTGTTTCTTTTATTTCCCTACATTTATTTAGATTTCCCTACATTTATTTAGAAAACTTAAAAAAAATTTTTCCAGTATTCCTATATATTATAAGCCTCCCAAGCCCTTCCCCTCATCTATGGCCCACAATAACTATATCATTTATTATATGACTGTATCTTTTCACTATATTTTGACAATACTAAAAATATCATTATAGGATTTTTTAAAGGTTATTAGCCTACTGCAATACTATTAATATTTCGGGTTTCTTTCCTATATGTACTGAAAGTAAAAGTTCAAACATACAGATAGGCATGCATACTTTGTCTTATGAATATTCAAAATCTCAATAACAGATATGAAATATAGTCTACTCATTTATTATTCACTCAACAAACAGATGCTGAGCAACTATTACATGCTATGTAGTGTGTTAGGCAGCATGGGAAATGCCTGTACTCCATTAAAGGGAAGGAAAAGTAGGAAGATATACACAGTATATTAAATATCTATCATATATATCATGCTACTTTGTATGTTGCCAGAAGTGTAAGAATAATAGCAAATATATATTGAGGCTAGGCATTCCTCTAATAGATTATTATTTCATCTGTATCTTATAATATTGCCATTTTACAGAGCAAGAAAATTTTTAGCAAGACTAAGTAACTTGACCAAGGTAACACAGCTAGAGAGAAAACCAATATTCAATCCATTCTGAAAGACTTCTTTATCTAATGAGCCTATAACTCTTCCCATTCTGATAAAAGATTCCCTGCCATAAATAACCTTGTCTCATAGGTGTTGCGTCTATTTGTGTCCTTTGTCAAATATTACATGTATTTAGCTTAACATATGGTAGATCAGGAAAATATCTACAGACATACTAAATGGCAACACATATCAACAACATATTTGGCAAGGTTCCTTACGATAATTTAGTGAAAGAATGGAGAAGCAAAAACTGAAATGTAGAAACAATTGTACAGACTGGACATGTAATCCTAGCTCTCTGAGAGGCCAAAGCAGGAGGAGCTTGAGCTCAGTAGTTACAGATCAACCTGAGCAAGAGCAAGACCCCAGTCTCTACAAAAAAAAAAAAAAAATAGGTTAAAAAAAGTTAAAAACCTAAAGAGAACAGTTAACCAATCAAAGTTAAGCAGGCTTTTTTCTTTCAAGAGAATTCATAGCCTCAAGTAAGCTAATGTTAAGCAATTTTAAGTTCAGGTTTATCCTGTATCCTTTATCCTAGTATCATCTAAGTCCATAGTCCTAGTTTATACCTGCTGTCTCTGTTTCATTATTAATAGCACACCTCTCACTCCTAAAACTGTACCAACTTGGACATAAATTATATGATCACTCTACCTATGTACACCCAATCTCTGAGAACAGGATGGAATTTCTCAGATACATCTGACCACTGCTATGGTTCCACAGAACATACTTGAGGAAATGTTGCATTAGATGGCAGAATAAAGGTGCAAAGTCCTGGAAACCCATTATGTCTGAATTTTTAGTTGGGAAGACTAGAATTAGACCCCCATGAATGGAGAACGTGAATTCAAAAATATATTATTGAGAATTTTTATAATAATATACTACCACTATTGCCATTATTCTCACAGGCACATTTGAATAACATCCTTATTAAATGAATAATAAACCAAAGACTAGAAATCAAATAGAGACAAAATATAAGGCTTGCACATACCCCTTAAAAAATAAAAGCAAGTACAATATTAGGGAATCACATAGACTTGAGGGGCCTCTTACCCGACAACAAGTTTAATAAATCAATAGTATGCTATGACTACCAAAAAAGTTATTGTAATCTTAAGTTTAATAAACAACATCTAATAGTATGCAGAATGGGAATTTCAACATTCCAATCCTACTGATCAGCCCATTAGCTAAAATATCATGTTCAGTTAAGAGAGACAGTGATGGGATGAAAAGAACACCGGCTTTGCAGTCAGAGAGACAGTCTTGGAATCACATCACGATTCCAGCATTAATAGCTCCATGCCTATAGGTAACCCACTGAATCTCAGCTTTCTCATCTATAAAATGGAGCAATGATACCTACATAGCTGAACTGCCGCCACATGTATGCAAGAGCATCCACGAAAGTCCTGACAAACACAAAGGAACAGCTAAATTAAGTGTCAGGTGCTACTGTTACTGTTTTTATTACTAGTTTCTTACCCTCTTTATGTTTTCTGAATTATCAGAAAAAAATTAACAAAATGCAAAATGAACATTTTCCTCACCTGTCTGCTACACTCCCTGGCTGTACTTCCTTCACGAAGATATCAACTTCTCCCAAATTCTGCCTTCTAAGGGCCACCACACTGAATCCAAGGCCTCCCGTTGAAGGTCGTTCTATATCTATGTATTCAATTTGCCGGCCCTAATGAAGGGGGATTTAAAAAAAAATCAGTGATGTACATTTAACCAACATACCCTTTCTGCAGAACTGAAATTGCTTAGCATAAGAACAGCTTCTCCTAAAGTCATCTCTCTAGAACCGTATAAACTCAGCATTTCAGTAATAAATTATTGCCGGAAATCCTCTCACTTGATTATTTTCAGTAGAGCACAAGGGAGAGCCGTGCAGTATTCTGCAACCTCAGGGACTCAGAGGTATTTTCACACTTCATTCACCTAATGAGATGAATCCCAAGGTGGATGAAAACTCCTGAGAAAAATGCCTATTCCCACATTAAATTCTAAACTACTTTTACACTGAATTTCCCTAAATTTTCTTGATGGAAAATATATGTTTAAATGAGGAATATAAATTAGATATATTAAAAATAGTCTAGTTTTTAGCCTAAGTTAGAACTAGCTGCACTTTTTAGGATTCTTTTTTAATTCCATTGTGATGAATTAATATTCCTTTTATTCGGTCAATTCAAAAGATCATGCAAAGGCCACCACTCAAATGGGTTCTACCTGTGGCAGCCAAGTTTTTATTGCTTTAGTTAACAACTACATTTATAATAGGACAATGTCATAAATGGAATCAATTAACAAAAGCATCACAGAGAAATAATTACTAGTTAAATGAAGGGGCTGGAACTATAAAGTCAAAAAAGGAATTAGGTCCAGAACATTATTTAACTATCATACTTCAAAGAGATCGTGTTTAACTTTCAGATTCAAGTTTCATTTTCATTTTTAGTTGGTGAGGTGAACAAACAAAAAACATATCCAAAAATTCAATTTTCTATTATCTAATTTTTAATAGGTATTGCGGCTACAACTGAAATACCCTTCCAAAGTTTTTCTAGATTTTCTAAAGTATATGAGTTCTAACTCCCATTAATTCTGCTTTGATATAAAATTTAAAATAGTTTCAGGCCGGGCGCTGTGGCTCACGCCTGTAATCCTAGCTCTTGGGAGGCCGAGGCGGGCGGATTGCTCAAGGTCAGGAGTTCAAAACCAGCCTGAGCAAGAGCGAGACCCCGTCTCTACTATAAATAGAAAGAAATTAATTGGCCAACTGATATATATATAAAAAAAAAAAAATTAGCCGGGCATGGTGGCGCATGCCTGTAGTCCCAGCTACTCGGGAGGCTGAGGCAGAAGGATCACTGGAGCCCAGGAGTTTGAGGTTGCTGTGAGCTAGGCTGACGCCATGGCACTCACTCTAGCCTGGGCAACAAAGTGAGACTCTGTCTCAAAAAAAAAAAAAAAAAAAAAAAAAATAGTTTCAATTGTGTTTTGTCACTTCTGGCAGACATTAATTTTCCTCCTGTGATCAAAACCAGTAAGAATCTCTTTCTTTACAAGAATAGATATATGTGTCCAATTGGAGTCAGTGTCTAAAATCTCTCCTTATCACATACATGGATGTAATTTTAAGCCAATTATGTTTCCAATATAGATAATGGTATCAATTCTCCCTCTCAATATAAAAATATAAGCAAGAAAAATACACAGTAACATATTTTATGGCAAAAGGAATGAATATGGTTTTCTTTTTTAATCTAAAACAGGAGAAATGAAGCTAAATATTAACCATGACAAGATATAACTTTACCTGGGCCATCTGTTGAATGATTGAGTTAAAGTCTTCATTTCCCAACTTTGGGGTCCAAGAAGATAACCCAGATACAGTCGAGTTATTAGAGGGCCTGTTGGCATTTCCATTAGTAATGGAACCATCTGTGAACACTAACAAACCTTTCCTAGAAAACTCAAAGTTGGTTGAACAATCTGAGGGTACATGGCTGAGCTGTTAGAGAGAAAAACATGAGAATCATTAACAGAAATCTATAGAAAAGTAATTATTTCTATTTATTAAATATTATATTTTGCCTATTACATGTATAATTCACATGTTAAATATTAATATATACATATAAAGAATAAGGTGAAGATATATGAATCTATATATTCACAAGGCTCAAAATTTTTAATTTAGTATGACACAAAATAGTATTTAGTACTATAAAATACAAAATTTAGTATTACAAAAGTTTTAATAGCTCAAAATTTGTTCTTATTTCCTATCTCTTACTACAACCCCAAGCAAATAGCATCTACACTTATACTAACATCTCATTACACTGCATATATACAGATACATTCAGTCATAGAATTTAGACACTAAACTCCTTTGAATTAATCTGTATATTTCCCTGTGGGGAGCCACAAAAGATGCACGGGTAGTATATAACAATAACAGTATTCATGTAGTGCTTGCTAAGAGCTAAGTAATGCACCAAAACTCTCACATGTCTTATCACTGAATTCTTACAATAGTCGGATGAGATCTCATTACCCTATTTTGTGAATATGAAAACTGAGGCACACAGGGGTTAAGCAACAAGCCCAAGATTAGCAGCATGAGAGTCACAGACCACTTGAGCATTAGTAGAAAGGGGAATCCTGTAATTATGGGGAGCAGGATTTTTTAAACATCCCTATAATTGCTAACATAGTGGTATAAAGTTAACATGAAGTGTAGGGGCAGGGTGGGGTGGGGTGCGGAGGGTGAACACGGGGGCGGGGGAAAAAAGGGGAAAAAAAAAAAGAATAAGTGTTAATAGGACCTTGTAGAAAAAAATCAATACTCCCTGGCTACACAGATTTTACAGTTCAATGAATAAAATATGACTATGTATATAACAGCTACAAACTATACAAATACTACGGATTCTTATTATAATACTATGGAGTGGTTAGTTAAATCTACTCTTAGTCTAGTGAGACTAACAGGTTTGTACCGATCTTTGTCAATTTCAATTACTACCAACAGCATTCACTACTACAATATGGGACTAACTCTGTGACCAGGGAATACAGAAAGTTAACCTTCAATATGGGGAATGCTAAAATTATGGTATAAATTCTGGTGTAAGCCAGGCACGGTGGCTAACGCATGTACTTCCAGCACTTTGGAGGCCAAACAGGGAGGAAGATTGCTTGAGCCCAGGAGTTTGAGACCAGCCTGGGCAACATAGTGAGACACCTGTCTCTACAAAAAAAAATTTTTTTAATTAGATAGATGTGTTGATGCACACTTGTAGTCCTACCTACTCAGGAGGCTGAGTTGAAAGGATTGCTTGAGCCCAGGAGTTCAAGGTTGCAGCAAGCTGTGATCATGCCACTGCATTCCATACTGGACAATAGAGGGAAACCCTGTCTCAAAATTTAAAAAAAATTCTCGTCTAAAGGAAAAATTCACAGAAAGATGTATGTGTAGAGTTTAATCCTTAATTAGCTACAAACAAATCACTCACTAAAAACTTAACAGGCATAGTGGTTTAGGCATTTTGGTTTATCAGCAAAAAACTTTTTCCCCCAAATTTTATTAATTGTATTTACTAACAGCTCTTCTAGATTATCTCCAATACATTTATAATTCTGCCGAAATTTAATTTACAGTATAGCTAATATTCAAACTCAGCTTCCAGAAGTGATGATTTTAATGCAATTTGCTATCCCTGACCCCAAAACATAGAACCCAAGAGGACAGTTAAAACCATTAATTTGCATCACTGTTAGGTGTTATGTGTCTTTTATTAATAACTCTACACTACTATGTATTTAGAGTCTGCAGAGTCCAGGTAGTATGGTATATGCAGAAGAGGAAACACAGATAAATATTAAAACACCAAGTATCTACCTCCAAGGAACTTCTAACCAGAATATCCATGATGAGAGACAATAAATATTTGATAATTAAGAGACATATGAATAATGTAGCAAGATCAAGATTTAGCAAGATCAATTCTTGCTAAATAAGCACTCATAAAGAAAATATATTTATGTTAAGCACTATTTTATAATTTTGAAGAAAATGTTGAGAATTCTCAAAGTATCTGATCTTTACTTACTTATTTACTTTATTTATGAATGAATGAATGAATGAATGACAGGTCTCACTCTGTTGACCAGGCTGGAGTGCAGCACCACAGTCACTGCTCCCTGCATCCTCAAGGCAATCCTCCAACCTCAGCCTCCTAAGTAGCTGGGACTACAGGTGCATGCTAACACTATACCCAGCTGATTTTCTAATCTTTTGTAGAGATTAAGTCTTGCTATGTTGCCCAGGCTGGTCTGAAACTCCTGGGCTCAAGCGATCCTCCAAAGTGCTAAGATTACAGGCATGAACCACTGCCCCTGGCCTACATACTTAAATAAGTACAAAAACCATACTCCAAAGCCAAATACAAAATTTATTATCAACGTTTTTAAACTATCCATGCCAGTGTTACCCACAGGTTACAGGTACCAATACAATCTCTTTGCTGAACTCAGAATCCTTAAAGATAATTTCTCTATCCCCTGTCTTTCTTTGCTGGTTTGAATACATCAACATAAAACCCTGATGAGTAACTACCTGCCCCTTCAGCTGCTTGATGGACTGCTGAAGTGTGAGTATCTGGTTGAAGAGAGGACTCCTCAGTGTCTCATAAAACATAGACAGCTTCTCATTCTGCGACGTGTCTCCCTTCTCCTGCAATTTCATTTTCAGGCGATCAAGAACCTGCAGGACCTGCAGTTTATCTTGGTTGAAGAAGGAAAATCAGAGTAAAAGTTAAATCCCATCTTATATTCCATTTTCTAATCATTCATTAATTTAATGCTAGAACCACATATCTAGTGTACCTGCAGCAGGATTTTCTGGCATTTTGAATTATTCTCTTCGATCACTTACAAAGAAACCTAGAGAAAAATATAAAAATACAACACAGATAAATGATGTTTGAGATGATAGACATACTAATTACCCCGATCTGGTCTCTATATATTATATGTATCAGAACATCACTACGTACTTCATAAATATGTAAAATTATTATGTGTCAATTTTAACAACTTTAAAAAAACAAGATAAAATAAAATATAATTCTATTAAATAAAAAAATTACAAAAGATAATTTCCATTAGTATATACATGTCTATAGTCCTATAGAAAAACTAAAGGAAACCTCATGGACATTCTTCATCAAAGATTCCACTCTATGAAATTCAAATTAAAACCACAATGCAACGTCACTACACACTAAGATGACTAAAATTAAAAAACAGACAATACTAAGTGTTGACAAAGCTGTGAAGCAACTGGAACTATCATACACTGCTAGTAGGAATGTAAAATGGCACAATCACTTTGGAAAATTGTTTAGCAATTTCTTATAAAGTTAAAAATGTACTTATGATCCAGCATTTCCACTCATACTTACCCAAGAAAAATGAAAATATATGTTGAAAAAATACCCTGTACATGAAAGCTCATAGAGTTTTTATTTATAAAAGCCCCAAACTAGAAAGACTCAAATATCTAATAATAGATGAATAAACAAATAATGGTACATAAATATAATATTCAAAAAGAAAAGAAAAAATTACTGATACACAAACAAGGCTAAATCTCAAAAATGCTAGGTTGAGAAAAAGAAACCTGACCCCAAAAAAGATACTAACTGTATGATTCCATTCATACAAAGTTTAAGAACTGACAAAACTAATCCACAATTATAGATTCATTTACTTAGGGCAGGGTAAACAGGAGTTGACTAATAACAGTGTTCAGAACATGCTACCCCAAAATATGGCACCTTAACATGTTGAATATTTTTAGCTGAAGGAATCTGAGAAACAGCCGATGCAGGAAGGACTTCCCCTGAAGCAGATCATAAGATCCTCATGTGAAAGGTGCTCTCCCTATACCCGAAAAATAGGAGCATCTTTATTTCCGAAGACAGAAGACACCAACAGGAAATCGGAATGAACAGGCCTTTCCAAGTTTCCCCGTTACTACTCTTAGTTCACATCCCTTTTTTCCTATCACATTTTTCCACAACTCTACTCTTCATCAAACCTAGTATAAAACGCTCAGGTTTAACTGTTTCTTTGGGTTTTCATTTCCTTCTGAAGGCTCCTGTGTCACATAAAACTTATATTAAATAAATTTATATGTTTTTCTTTTGTTAATCTATCTTTTATTACAGGGGCCCCAGCCAAGAACTTAGAGGAGCAGAAGGTAAAAATATTTTCCTACACTGGGAAGGGGTTCAAGGGAGCTTGCCCAAGTGATGGAAATGTTCTGTTTTAAAAGGGGTACTGTTTATACAGATATATACATTTACCAAAACGCACTAAACTATATGCTTTAAATTAGTATATTTTATTGTATGTAAATTATACTTTATAAAATAAAATTTTAAAAAGGACCCTGAGCTGAAAAAGAATATCCAAATTAAGGGATCAAAAAGATTTTAGAGGAGATTAGAAAAAGAAAAATTCCCAAGCTGTACAAATGATCCCACACTCTTACTGGTTATCTGCATCTCCAGAAGGAAACCACCCAATATGGCATTCTTTATGGATAATGTTTTTTAATTCCAGGAATTTGCTCAAATTAGCCTAAAATGTAATGCAATTGAAATACGAAAAGCCAAGAAAACACTTTGCTATGACCAAAATGATACTTTCACAGTGGTCATTCTTACTAGTGAAACACTATTGTAATGAACCATCAAAGAAATGTATTCTATAATCAAAACTTTTTTACATCAACCTGGGTACAGTGAATGAGATCTTTATCTTCTAATGCAAGATCATTAAACAAGAAAGCATATTAAAAACCAATAAGGGATGTCATTGCATTAATAAAAGGTCCAAGTATTCCATCCAAATGTTCATTGAATTCAATGGGAACTACCAAAAGAAGTGCTGAATACAGCATCACAGAAACACTTCTGATATGCTCAGCATCTCAACTGTACAACCTTTACAACCATCCAGTGACAGGTAGCTGTGAATAACAGAAGGGTAGTCACAAAGGTACTGTCCTCTTATATAGAAGCATATAGCCCAAAACGATTGCAAGAGCAGCGTGGTTGTTATTAATACATCAACCTCTCTTACTCAAAGAACACAAGCTAAAACAATAAGATGCCATTTTTTACTGTCAAATGTCAACTGACATTTATTAATTTATTAGAGATTAATAATAGGCTATACTCCAGATGTCATGAAAAAATAGGTGGGAGTATAAATTTGCACAATCTTTCAGGAGGACAACTTAGCAGTATCTATTAATGTATCTATATTAAATTTGCATTCTCTTTTACCCAGAATTTCTACTTCTGATTGTTTCTCCTAAAGAAATACTTGCAAAAGGGCACAAAGTTGGTATGCAAGGGTATTTACTGCATGGAATAGCAAAACTCCTGGGAAAATTAAATTATCAAAAGCAATCCAGCCGGGCGTGGTGGCTCACGCCTGTAATCCTAGCACTTTGGGAGGCTGAGGCGGGTGGATTGCTCAAGGTCTGGAGTTCGAAACCAGCCTGAGCGAGACCCCGTCTCTACCAAAAATAGAAATAAATTAATTGACCAACTAAAAATATATATACAAAAAATTAGCCGGGCATGGTGGCGCATGCCTGTAGTCCCAGCTACTCGGGAGGCTGAGGCAGGAGGATCGCTGAGCCCCGGAGATTGAGGTTGCTGTGAGCCAGGCTGACGGCAATCACTCTAGCCTGGGCAACAAAGTGAGACTCTGTTTCAAAAAAAAAAAAGCAATCCAGCCAGACCCAGTTAATCCTAACACTTTGGGAGGCTGAGGTAGGAGGATTGCTTGAGCCCAGGAGTTCAAGATCAGCCAGAGCAATGCAGCAAGACCCTGTCCCTACAAAAAGAAAATAAGAAAAATGAGCCAGGCATGGTAGTGCACGCCTGTAGTCCCAGCTACTCAGGAGGCTGAGGCAGGAGAATCACTTGAGCCCAGGAGTTTGAGGTTGCAGTGAGCTATGATGATTCCACTGCACTCCAGCCCTAGCAACAAAGGGAGACTTTGTTTCAAAAAAAAAAAAAAAAAAAAAAAGCCAATCAGTCATTAAAATAATGAAGTAGGTCTGAATGTACTGAAAAGGGAATAAGGGGGACAGTTAACAGTAAGCCTGTGGCTCACTCCTACAGCTTAAGGGATTCCCTGTATGAAAGCAGGCCTCCTTGCAAACACATTAAAGGATTTTAATAGATAAGATAGAGTCTCTTATTTTAAAATGTCAGTATATATCTGGTCTGTCTTAATTGATTTTTGTGAATAATCTGAAAATTTAGGGATTTATGGGGCACGGCTGGCTGGAAAACAGGAGATAATCACAGACATTTCCTATTTGCGTAACTAATGGGGTACAGAACCAGAGATTCCCAAGACAGAAAAGGCTTCCTTTAGGAAAAATGCTTCTGTATATATTACTCAGACTTTGTTAATCTAAAACAAAACAAAACAAAAAAAATGTGTCCTGAGGTTGAATTTTACTTCTGTAAACAAATTAAGAACTGCACTAAAAGTCTGTCATATGATTTCATACCAATCCATAGACAAGTATCTGAAGCATGTTGATAACATGTCCTAATGTAGAAGACAGTGACATTCTGTGGAAGCTGTGCCTGTTAGCTGGGGGCTCCTCCCAGAAGGAATGGTCCTCTGTGTCTGCCTCCTGCCTGTAGCCTCTGAAACGCAAGTAAGGCTGGAGCTGGATAAGATTTCACACTCATGGGAGCATGCTTTAACAATCCAATCCTTTGTGTTAACACAGGGAAGTTATCCAATATACACAACTGAATGGGGAAAACAGGTTTCAGAATATGTGCATCATTTTTACATGTTTGTAAGAAAAAAGTGTGTGCACAGGTTTCTAGAAAAAGATTTAGAAATAGTAAAAGTGACCAAAAAATGAGTGCTAAGGTGGCCTAATGAGAAAGCAAGACAGAAAAGATATACAGCAAGACAATGACAACACAATGGGATACTGTAAGGTATATACACACAATAGCAGAAGTGTGTACCATGTACTAAGAGCAATCATAAAGGGAAAGTGACTGGCCCTGCCTCAAAAATTTGGGAACGCTGGAATGACAATACATCAGAAAGCTCCCTCATTGTAAAGAAAATATAATGGAGTGAAAAGTAAAAGTGACCATTAGTCCTCATTTGCTCAGGATAGCCTCAAGTCTCAGTCTACCAAGCATCTTCATTATTAACAATGCTTCAGTTCACTCTAAAAATTGTCCTGACTTAAATGAAATGGGACTACCCTAGTTCAGTGGTTCCCAAACTTTAGCATGCATCATATCCACCTGCAGGGCCTATTCAAACACAAATTGCAGAGCCCTGTTTCTGATTCAGTAGCTCTGGGGAGGGCCCCAAGAATCTGCATTTCTAACAAGTTCCCATGTGACCCTGATGCTGCTAGCCTAGAGACAACAACTGAAGAACCACAGCATAGAGGTCTATAAGGACATGGCTTTCTGTGATAATAACAACTAGCTATAAATGACCTAATAATGTAAGGTTCCAGAAGTAGCAGAAAGGGAAAAAAAAGAAGCCTAGATTATTGTTACTGCAAGTGTGGACTGCGAATTGATGCTTGGCCCACAAAGAGATAAGTACCAAAATTAGGAATAACCATTTAGAAACCTTCCTGCAATATGGTAAAGTATGTCTATTACATTTAATAATAAAAAACTTGACCTTATATTTTGTATGTGTTTTTTAAATTTAATTTTTCTAATAATTTATTTCATAAAAATATCAATCCTTGAAAGATTGGGGAGGAGGATCCTGATCTTTCATCACTAATACTTTGGGAGACTACTTTGAAAGTGTCCTTGCAAATAAGGCTAAGCAGACTAGTCTTTATCCTATAT